ACTTGCTGAAAATGTGGAGAGGTGAGGGATATTAGCGCTAGACGCAGGGTGGCCTAATAGTGGGCTGAACAGCTTTGACAAAGAAAACGAAATTAAAAAACAAGCTTCCTGACATTCTTAGAATCCAAGTTAAGGACTTTCAAACTGAAAGCTACATTCACAATGCATCAGCATCATTCCACTCTTCCTAATATGTTTTACTATCACCTATGAAAATAAAAGCGATATTTTCAATGATATTCATCGTCTTTTACGAATTTCTATTCTTCCGTTCCACATTAGTCAATCGTGGAATTTAAACGGCACTTTTTATATCCTTCCCAGTATGTCATGAGGTGAGACGTTTGGTGTTGAAGTTTTATTTACATGAAAAAGGCTTGGGGCGCTGTACTTTTACTGTGACATAAAACTAAAGGTCTGTTTCCAATATGTTAGAAGCTATATTACACATTGTTAGAACAGATGCCAGGGGGCGATATTATATATTCCAAATCTGATTTTTATCGCGAATGTTTTGTTTCGAAAACTTATGAACAGTAATGTGGCACAAAATAAAATTATGCAGGAGTAAATATCAGTTTAACTGATTGACTTTAGGTCTAATAGTTATTATGTAAAGTTTCAAACAGAATGGTTATAATTCGGGTAGGCTTGGAATTTCAGACAATTATTTACAACTGCTGATTGTCTGGTCTGTAAATAGAAGCTAACTAGGGATGAAGGAGCCGCTGGATGTTTATTCAGAGAAAAATATCATGTGATGTGCTGAAGAACAGACATTAATATGGGATAGGTTCAATCATGAGTTTAGACACTAAATATGTGAGTGATGATATGAATTTTTTAGTACATTGATAGAACTATCAAAGGTGTTGTAGATCACCAACGTAGATGATCTATGTCGAAATGATTGAAGGCCTACTCGAGTTAGACGTGAATAGTGTGACGAACCAACTAACGTCGAAGTCACGCCTCGTGGTCAGCACCTTACGTGGACTACCCCCATTGACGTAACAAGGTACTATAGATGCTTTGAAGACTGTACAACACAAAGGACGTTATTACAGAAATATATTAGTTAAGGCAGATACAGGCGAAAGTAAGACCACTGCCGCATGGGCCAGTCCATGGCGTATGATTAACTAATGCGCGTTTCTTGTACATGACCTTGGCAGGGAGCGATGATCTGTTCGACATTCAGTGATCCAACTGCCGGATGATTTGGCTAGGGCTCAGTGACATTTCACTGGCCCTACAATACTCCCCCACCAGATTCAACGGCCGTGTGAATCGGTACCAAACATGTTGGGAGCAGTCGCGCGCCAGAGAGTGCCAAACGAATATTATAAATCCTTCAGGTATTGCTTATCTGTAAAGGAAATGGAAAGGAGGCGGCAGAAACTGGTCGGGAAACAGCGAGTCATAATATGTTAGTAGGACGTTGCTTAAACGTAAATTGATTAACCATAGAAATAATGAAAAGAACAAAACGTTTTATTGTTCTATCAAGTCGCGCTGAAATATATAGCCTTGACAAGTAATTCAGTTCCTCCGATGACAAACGTTAAGTCTGCCGCAAGAGTAATGATGCTATAGCGATAGTAGGATAAGTGCATTATCAATCGATATCCATATTTGTACTGTCATTAGTTTAAAGTTGTAAGTCGGACAGTGTCGTTGACAGCTATTAATTAGTGTCAAATTCTAGTTATATCTATATCTAACAGACTAACCGTAAGTACAGAAGTATAACAGTGAAGAGTGGTCGTGATTTCGTTGTGCGAAGCTATTGACCAACTTGTAGTCACAGTTTGAAAAGTCGATGACTGCTGTTACAGTCAGTAAGGGTTGAAGGCTACAAATCGACAGCAAAAGGTGGCACGATGAAGTCTCTAAAAGATGATAAACGGTGAATGCTGCGTGTTTGTTCGGTTAGTGAACAGAAAAATATCGAAATGAACATAAGAAACCAAGAGTGTCACTCTGGACTCATGTCAATGATACCCGTGAAAAACGCTGTCAGTGTTGGGATAGAGGCGACAATATCGTTTTCAGTTTGCAGGAGATTCGCTCGACTGCATAAACTGATGAGTCGCGCGAATGATATTGTCGTCAGACCACCAATTGAACTGGACAGGTTGTAAATCGTCGAGTAGTTGAACAGCCGATTGATGCACCGGAATCATCTGTTAAATAACAGCCATGAGGAAACAATACTTCATAAAATGAAGTACGACATCGAAGTAGAACAACTACAATAGTTCAGATGTGTTACAATGTCAAGTCTAAATAACATCGTTCTTACGTATACTGACAGTTGCACTGAACGTTCGCTTAGGTATGATTAGCGTAACAGTTGGATGTGTGAATAAAAACATATACGAAAACTATGGTTGGGTTCGTGGGGAATTTTCGAGGACGTTTAGATATTTTCCAAACCCGTATGGCATGTAAATAAACCGAAAATAGAATTGAAATGACTGTCGTGTAATAAGGAAATCGAGCCATGATTTACCGTGTGAATTAATAGCAAATACAAAGGGTATAATAAACATTAATTAAAATGGTAACCACCAATGTAACTAAGGTTTAGAGGGTCCACGTAACGTGGCCGTTTCGTAAAAGGCTGATACAAAGAGCTTATTACCTAGCGTTAAGTGACATATTAAGTACGACAACGTGTGTACTTGGGACATGGACTAAGCGTGCTCGTGTACATGCAATATGTTTTACCACAGTATGTCGACTAACGAGTCATAAATGTACATGATTTCGACTAAAACTTGACGGCAGTGACAGAATATATGACTGGTTTACGTGAAAACAACTACGAAATGTTATCACGCACCATAAATATAGTGCGAAATAATCTAATGAAATTATGAAACTCGCCTGGGTCACTCTTGCCTCTAAGTAATGAAGATATGAAGTAGGCAGTAGTTTGAATCTGGATTGTGTACGAGGTACTGTTGATTAAATTTTTCGATTAACACAGCATTGTAGACTGAATCGGTATAAGTTCAGAATTAATTTAAGCCGAATACATAGCATTACTTTGACGAACAGTCTAAACGAGATCTAAGATCGCAGGAAATTTATAGTTCAAACTCACCGTGAATTTCTAGCATTCGTATCCTCTGTTTGGCCATGGAACTCAGTGTAGATCACCTACGTCGATGATCTATGTCGAAATGATTGAAGGCCTACTGGAGTTAGACGTGAATAATGTGACGAACCAACTAACGTCGAAGTCACGCCTCGTGGTCAGCACCTTACGTGGACTACCCCCATTGACGTAACAAGGTACTATAGATGCTTTGAAGACTGTACAACACAAAGGACGTTATTACAGAAATATATTAGTTAAGGCAGATACAGGCGAAAGTAAGACCACTGCCGCATGGGCCAGTCCATGGCGTATGATTAACTAATGCGCGTTTCTTGTACATGACCTTGGCAGGGAGCGATGATCTGTTCGACATTCAGTGATCCAACTGCCGGATGATTTGGCTAGGGCTCAGTGACATTTCACTGGCCCTACAGTGTCACATACATTCAGCGCTTAACAATGCCATCGCTAACAGCACTCTTAAAAATCTAGAGTCCCGAACATAATCAAACCAGAAGTCGAGAATGAAAGGGTTTGAAGATATATTTTTTAAAAACAGTTAAGTTATCCGTTAGTCTGTGATTTCAAGTGACTAGATGTTGTGTAATGAAGAAAGAAATCAGATGGAAAATGTCAAGTTGTTTTTTGAAACAGAATTAGGGTGCCTTAGTAGAGTATGAAGACCATACATTAAATTTATCATTTGCGCATCTTCTCTCAATTGTCTCTTACAAACTTCATCTTTCTGTCATTCCTGTTGATGTTTCGATTGCTTTCCGTTTTCTCCTCTCTCCTCTTCAGTTCAATGTCCTCAATTTTCTGATCAGCGTTACGTACTGCTTTTATCTGTCAACATAAGTAACATACACTACGGTGGCACGGGACAGTTATCAATGCCTATCAATGGTGATCCAGTATAGATGCTTGACCAAGCGCTTTTGGCTGGGGTTTGTCTGGCAAAAAATGAGGTCAGCACCAATGTTGAAGAATTATTTGACGTGTCCGTAAGATGGCACCCTGAAAGATAAACTGGAATGAAGACAGTATACCTGAGCGTAGATAAATGTAGTGAGGCATGAGGCTTCTGTATTGATGACGGAGTGGATGAGTCTGGAGTTGTGTTGTGGAGAGATATGACCACTATGCCTGAACGAGGGCCTCAATCCGACGGTGTCCTTGGAAACCAGCAGTGCCAGAATTAAAGTCGAATGACTTTTCGGCTCTCTTCGGGAGAATTACTAATTGTCACAGGTTTTTATGGTGAAAAGGTGAGAGGAATTTGTGGAATACCGACTATTACTCATATTTTCTTAATCAAGTAAATCATATATCTGATGAATATCGGATTATTTAGTTATTTTCTGTACACGTCCAGGATAACTAGGATAAGACCCTTAGGTTTATTATCGACATTGGATTGGATCAAACCTCATGAACAGGACCAAAGTCCTCATTTTTTACTCAGAGCTGGTGTTATTTAAAACCCGTGGATTTTGTGTGGACAACAATCGTATGTTATAAAGAAATAGTAACAAAGTTTGAGGAACTAAGACGATTGTTATCCGAGATCACGGATTTATTAAACTCGTCATCATGGTGGAAATGACATACAAAGTGCCTACGAACATAGAACAAACTCCTATTATTTATTAGTTATATCATAACATAAAGGACACCCAATCATTTCAATATCTGACGTTTGGACTATTAGTTCACTGTGTTACTTTTTCCACTGAATAATCAACTTTTGTGGCATACAGCCGAAGAAATGGTTTTAGTGGGATGAAGACCGACTTTTATCAAAGAAAGTGAACGAGATGGAAATATCCCGAAGGAAAGCTGCATTAGGTTTTTGAACCTTCAGCTAACAGACTCAAAATTTGAATATAAAAAAATAGTTGTGAATAATGGGACTAATTTCCTGATCTTATTATGAAGATAAGATAGTTACATTATTTTACTAAACACATGGTGGTTTGGTTGGTTGTCTGATCAACACGGTACTTTTCCGAGGGGTATTCAATTTTCTGGGATGATTCAGTTGGAGGTCTGCATACCGGTAGAGGTGGAAGGCAAATATGGAGAGTTCTACCCCGTACGTTCTCTATCTGTTGTTAATCTTGTTCCAGGGTGTCATAAATGGGTTGAAATCCTTAGAAGAACTTAATGTGACACTATTAGATTCTTCCCACTCGAAAGCCCTTGTGGAATTCACTCTCCCTCCTTCCTCGTTGCGTCTCCCTCCAAAGGATCCAGGAACAGTTCTAGAACCAGTCCAAGGACTAGAGGTTGATGTGTTAATCAGCTCATCTCCTGGCGAGCCACCTGTAGACCATGAGTTATCAAGTGATCCGATTGCTTCTAAACTTTCTGCCTGGTGGCCTGCTGTTGTAAGGAAAATTGGTGGGAGTTTTGTTATTGTGGAGTTAATGGCTGACTTCTCTTCTGAGAATGCTGGTTCAAACGAAGTAACTGTCCTTCCCAACAAACGCATTAGTGTCCCTCACCCTTCATCACTTGAAAAAACAGATATTGTTGAAAAGCACCAATTGAGACCACGGATTCATCATCCCAATCTTAGTGTCTCGTCCTTTCACATCCATGCTATAGATATACCGGACGAGTTAGCTCCATAGTAAGTTACGTTTCTGCTTCTTGCTTTGTCTCTGTATAGCTATGGTTAATACTCCCGGTTTTTCTCAGTTGCAGAGAGCCTGCCAATTACCATCATTTTGCGCGACGATGTGGTTTGCCTGTCCTGATCACTTTGGCGCCCGACACATTTAAACCCGTGTCCCCAGTTATTAAGGGGGACAGTGAGACGTACAACCTAAAGTCCCGTTTGCTTGTAATTTCTACAGATATCTCCACAATCAACAGGGCATCTGTCATCGACAACACGTTCGTTGACATGCTGCGACAAAAAGTCTCCATTTTGCAACAAACTGAAGAACTATCCAAAAAGTTGGTGGCGTCGCGCCTTAATCAGGTACGTTCATTACTTTCTTATGGTGTCTTAGCAATCACCATTCGTTGAAGAATTCCTCATACCTCTGGATTTAATCCATTATGCAATTGGCGCTCAAGGGTCAAATATTAGACGCGCTAGTGCTATTGAAGGTGTACTTTCTGTCAAGTTAGATCGCCAGACTGGTAATATCAGGATTTCTGGGAAGGTATGTACTTTCATTTTGTGTTTCGAATTTGATAGATTCGTTTAATGCAGTAAAATTAGCACTTACCAATAGCCTTAACTTGAAGGTTCAGTTGAGTACAAGTGTAGGGCTGCTAACATTAGTTAAATCTATTGGTAATAGCAGCCCAGTTTGTCGACTAGTTATACACTTTCAGTTGTATAAAAGCCTGGTCATATCACAAACCGGACACTTAATCTCATTTTGCAGTTTATTTTTATCCACTCCCAGCTTTTGAAGTAAACAGTAAATGTTAATTCCTAGGCCTAGTAAGTTCATTCATGCTTTACATTTAACCTATCCTGATAAAAGGTAACAATTGCATGAGCTCTCAAGTACTTACGTACTCATCAGTGTGCTTTATATAATGGATTTCTGGAATCGTGCCCGAACTGGTAGTTAGCCACAAAACTTGTTTTGATTAGTCCCCGTTATTTGTAATAATGAGGTTTAACTAACGAAATCATTGAGTCTTAATCTAGGTCACAAATAGATTTCTGCCGGAAAAAGTTGTAAACGAATATTGGAATTTAGGGAAAATCTAGTCAGAAATTGCCAGAGCCGTGAAACTTAGCGTCGTGCCAGTTGTGGAAAAAGTAATACGAACGTGAATCGGCTCAAATCGCTTCACTACGTCAACATAATGAAAGGAAACTAACAGTGTCAACCCAGTATAAGGTCGTATACCATACTGTGACTGCCTGGACCGAAGCAAATGGGTCATTGCTCATTAATAAGTCTAAAATTCTAATCCATAAGATTAACTTATTTGAACACATAAATATTGATATAAAGGGGCACCGAATATAAATGCGCCACATAATTCATCTGATTTGTTTGTGGACTGTGATACTGCCCGGGTGCCCAAACCGAAACAGGTGTTTTTCTTAGGGGATCACACACGGAGCCTTCGATTTAATGTTCTGACCCACAAGGCAGTGGAGCGACGTCAGGAGATGCAGTCCCATGGTAGCCGGTGACCAACAATTGGTTCACACACCATTTGTTTCTTCAGGATCATGGAGCCCATGTGCACCATTGGTTTGGAGTTGAGGTTTTCTAACTCCCCTAGGTGGACCCTCCATATCCACCAACCCGTTTAAAGCACTGGACACCCGCTTTTCGTCCTCTCAAGCTAATAAACAACGCCCTCGCCACGAAAAGGCAGAGGGTAGGATTTCCCTGGCGGTGATTGTATACGCGTGGTCATGTGAGGGTAATTCGAGTGATAGCGGACTCTCCCCGCCCTCGGCCATAACAAGACCTAAGATTAACTAATTAAAAAAAAATTAACTGTCACTCGATAAAAACGCAATGTAAGACATTTTGTGTTCATGATATGCATCACTAAAATGACAGCAAAACCATCTTTTATACTAGCTGTGCATATATATATATATACAATATTAGTGATGCATATCATGAACACGGAAGGCCTTAAATGCCTGTATTTTCATCGAGCTACAGTAAAATTTAATCTTATGGATCAGAATTTTAGACGTGATTTGTTACTAGTAAGTGGTAATCCATTTGCTTCCGTTCAAACAGTCATAAATTTCACTCAGTATAGTATACGATGTTATACTGGGTTACTAAAACGCACTGCTTATCGAGTTTGAGCTTGATTTTCTTAGTAATTCAGTTAGGATTGTCGATTCCACTTGTTTCCGTCTTTTTCATTGAGTAGGTTGGGAAGTTTAGACAGAAGTCAAACTAATTCCCTGTTTTATTCTGTTTTTAATTACGAAAGTTATATGCGAGTTTTTATATTTTAAATAGCGTTTACCATCAGTTTAGGGAAACCATTTGAAAGACATGGGGTTAAAAAGTCCTGTCGGTCTGGAAATTCCAGATTATGGAATTATGGAATCCTAATTTGATAACTCAAATTAGATGAATAGAACACAAAGATGGACTAGTTAGTATTTTTTTACTGGTTTTTACTTCAATCTGATGTTCACTTACACTGAAGAATAGAAATATAGCTCAAGAGAAAAGCACTATTTTGATAACTGTAGTGGTTGAATATTTAGTTGGTAGAGATAATCATCCCTGTATTTGGCTATCTCTAACTACCTAGTGACATAAACCATATCTTTTGTCTCAGCAACAAACAATTGTCTAGTTAGAAGTTGATGTGACAGCTGAAAGGTTTGCCACTGGACCATCAAGCTAGGTATGTTTAATCAAAGTAATTAACATCAACTTAATGGTTTATGTTGCTAATGTCTAGACGGAGTTTAATTGAGGAGCTAAGTAACCGGATTCTTAAAGACAGCTATTTTGATGACTGCACAGAAGATTGTTGATGCATAGGGTAATGACTCAGTGCTAATGTACTGGAAATTACCATCAAACTACAGACAAAACCCTTTCCACCTACTTTGATTTCGCTAACTAGATAATATCATTAACACCAAAACGTTTGGCTCAAAGCCAAGTAAGTCTACATGTGCTTATCGGATCACATTATTAACATTACTGAGTATATTATTTAAGGACTAATATAGCCTCTCTCTCTCTCTCTCTCTCTCTCTCTCTATATATATATATATATATATATATATATATATATATATATATATATATGTATATATATATATATAGTAATTATTAAATGTAATTATTTTTATTACAAGCTAGTTTTTAATTAGTGTACAGTTTGTTTTTGTGGACATATAAGTTGGATTTTAATGATTTATTCATAGTATATCAAGCGTTCGTTATCCTCCCATTTAGTATCTTCATGGTTTTGTTAAACAAACAAAATCCTAATAAAATACGGTACCTATTCATTCCAGACTCAAGATGCTGTTAAAAACGCGAAGAAGTTATTGGATTTCTCTCAAGACATCTTTCAGATACCTAAATCATATGTAGGTCCTATCTTGGGATCAGGTCGTCGACACGTTCAACATATCGTGGATCGAGTGGGACTTGTTGGAATCAAGATTTCTAAATCACCTGAAGACGATCGTGAGCACGTTTCATTCCAGTTAACGGGAACTCAGCAAGCCATACGTGATACACAGTTATTTTTGGAGTTTCAAGTCGCAAGCTTACAGGAGTTAGATCGGCTTCGTGGTGTTGAGAATCCGCCGTCTATATTAAAACCCAAGGATGCGACCATCCCACTTAAAGATATTTCGAGGTAATTGTGATTTTCACCAAATGTAAAATTTCAATAGGTTCTCGTTAGATTTTGAATAAAATACTGAGCTTTTCATCTAGTGTGTATGTCTACCTATTTCGATCTTTGTGGTCTTCGACTCAACATAGTCTATGGAAACCGTATAATCCTGACTGTTAATATTCAAGGGTTTTGGTTGTTGCACTACCTGTTTCGAACCAGCATTTTTCAGTTTACTTTGATATTAAATATGGTATTCTACTGGTGCCGTTGTCGGTATTTTTAGTAATTTTTTTTTATTTGTTTACTATTATTTCTACTTACTGAACATTGACTTATTACAAGTATCCAATCACAAACTTTTTCTTGAGCTACTGAATAGGGTGACAGAAAAGGCTGCGTTTCTCTCTTAAAACTATAATGAACAGCGGGGTTGCCCTTAAATACCCTGGTATGGTCAAGAGTGTGGAGAGTTCGCTGTCGCTCTCTAAGTTCTCTCATATGGCCACGCTGATATAGCCATTGCCAAGGAAGTCCTACTTGCTGCCTTCTGATGATTGGTGTTTATGAAATTGAAAGGACGAAAAGCAAATGTTCGGCTCTTAAACCGGGTTGGTGGGCATAGAGGATCTATCTAGGGGAGTTGGAAAACTCTGATCCCAAACTAATGGTGTTCATGCGCTCCAGAATCGTGATGGAACAAATGACGTATGAACCTATTCTTGGCCACCGATTGTTATGGGACCTCATCTCTTGACGTCGCTACACTACCTCATGGATTATTGTCGGTCATCCATTTACAAACAACTTGATGATCTGATACAAACGTTCACTAGCCTAACTTGTCACACAATGATAGAATGATAGGACACTGCCATATTAAGACCGACTGTCACCGCCGGTGCTCACACGATAAGTTTTCGATCTTTTACAGTCGGTCTCTTGAAATTTTATCTTAGATTGTTGCTGATCTGTTTAGTCAGACAAAATATCGTTATTGGATATGACTTCCAAATTAGCATTCTTTCTAATCATAGATGAAAATAAAGACGGTAGATACTTTTGATTAGGTGTACTATATTAGGCAATCCTAAGATCAGAAATATTACGTTAGGATTTTACTAATCTTTGTGGTGTGAAACACTTCAAGTCAAAAAAACATTTGATGTCTAGTGATAAACTTTTTCAATGTAGACAAACAGTAGGAAACAAATTTGAATTTAGGATAAATATGCATGGGATCGGATTTTTATAGATCATGTAAGCATAGAAGTCAGTGAGTAAGAAATAATAATCCTTACATAAATGCCAAATAAAAACTAGATGCTCATGAACTTCGAAGTGAAAGACACTCCATATCACCGTGTTCTTGATGGAAGCACCATATTACATAAAGTTGACTAATATTACTATATTTCAGGCCGTTATCAGAAAGAAAACCCACTCATCTAATCTACTGTCGAATGACTTTAATAAACTTGTTCAGTTTTCTTTGCCTAGAAAAAGTGAATGAAATTTTTTTGGAGTGTCCTACATAGGATGCAGTCGTGTTAATTCCTGTTTATCGATGTTTTTATCCCATTTCGAATAAAGAAAACGTACTTTCTTTTTGATTGTAATTGTAGCAATGATGAGTCTTCAAATCCTCTCACACATTCTGAAAATGGTCATCGTATATCAAACGGTGACAATCAAAGTTCAAAATGCAGTGAATCTAACTATGCTGTACATTCAAATAGTTGCTCAAATAAGGAGGATCCGGAGAAACAAGAAACTACTTATAACAACATTACAAATTCACGTCCACATCCTGGTGGACGTCAGCCCAAGCCGAGACCTCAAGTCAATCACATAAGACCAGGTATGTTTAAAAGACTGTCATAAGAATAGTTTTATTGGATTATTGATCGATAATCTACTAAACTTTTCTTCACTTGGGTTGTTCGATGAACTTATATAAAGTGTTTTCTAGTGTTGTCACATTATGTTCATTTAAAAAAATATTACATCTGGTTTTAGTTACAGACTACGCTTACTGCAGCCACACTTTCCACTAATAAACGGAATGAACAGTGACCTAACATATTTAACGTCATAAACCAATCACCTTTGTCTATACGATGTTATTTTAATTGTCTCTATGGATAAGTTCTTCAATGTAAAGAAATGTAGCAGTATACTATCATTAAATCAACTGGTGAGAATTCTTACCAGAATGTAAGCTTTTTCATCAATAAAGAAATATGGAATGACTCAGCCACATTATAACATTGCCAACGCATTAACTGTGACAAGCTGTATTTCGAACAGTTATCTTAAAAGGATCGACACAGAAACGATCTTTACAGTTACTATCAGCAATCGCATACCCATAAGTAGTTTTGCTTTACAACCATGATCAGAAACAGATTAGAATCAAAATTCACGGAATTAAGAGGAAGGAAAGCGAATGTCCGGTGCTTTAAACGGGTTGGTGGATATGGAGGGTCCACCTAGGGGAGTTAGAAAACCTCAACTCCAAACCAATGGTGCACATGGGCTCCATGATCCTGAAGAAACAAATGGTGTGTGAACCAATTGTTGGTCACCGGCTACCATGGGACTGCATCTCCTGACGTCGCTCCACTGCCTTGTGGGTCAGAACATTAAATCGAAGGCTCCGTGTGTGATCTTCTAAGAAAAACACCTGTTTCGGTTTGGGCACCCGGGCAGTATCACAGTCCACACACAAATCAGATGAATTATGTGGCGCATTTATATTCGGTGCCCCTTTATATCAATATTTATGTGTTCAAATAAATAAGTATTAATAATAATATTGTGATTGACATGTCCACGGAATTATTGTTAATTACTTAAGTCTATGCTTTTAGATACCAAAGAAGTTAAAGGTGACATCTGTTGTAATTTGTTAAAAATCAAACGAAATGTTTATCTCGTGGAGGTGTTGTTATATCTTGGAAAGAGTAGTTCAGTGTTTTGGTTAGTTTTGTTAGAAGTATGATGGTTGTCTGCGTACCACATAGTTCATGCGGTACCAAAAACCTATCACTTGTTTACATTCCATTGATATATTAAGTAGACGGCAATAAGTCTATGAAATCATAAACTAGTTTTGAATCCCATGATGTTCTTTCCGAGGTCATTAAAACAACTACAGTATGAATTGTAAGCGGAGATGAATGACGATAATACCAATACAAAAATGAATAACAACATGAATTGTTTAGTTTCTCGGTACCGTCGTGTTATAATTTTCGTCTAGTTAATTTCCTGTTGTGCTGATGTAAGATGTAGCAGTGTGAACGGACGTACATATGCTGTTAGTGACTAACTGATCAGTTACATGAATTACATAAGATGGATTCATCGATATGACAACTGTTTCCTTGTCTACACGAATGGGGCGTTATTTTGTCTTAGACGAATATTATCTACACTACATTCCCTCCCAGTGTCTGTTCTACGGGAATTCAACACATCTCAGATCAAGAACACGTGATTAGCCCGACTAGAATGTAAATATATTTCCACACCAAAAAAACCGACAAGAAGCCGACACAATCTAACAAAAATCCGAGTAATAATAAGGTTAAGGGAAAATACAACTCATCTAGTACCTGTCAGACTACTAGTCTCACTAAGCAAACAACCTATCATTGTCAATCTCGCCCACACATTAACAACAATTTCGGAAAACTACACTTCTGGTGGTTAAAGAAACAATTAGTAGGGTAAATATCTTAGATCAGCGTCTCTCATCATTGCATTTCACTGTCTTTCTGAGCTCTCGAAAAACACCCTGGTTCAAAATAACAGTTCAAGTCTATATTATTTAAAGTAGGACAATTTTATTGATATTACGAACCTATTTAAGTTAGGCAGTCAGTGTAAACATGAGAGCACTGGATGGCCGTTTTGCTCTAGTACGGGACCCCTCAGCAGTGCACACAGACGACTCCGCGACTGGTAATCAAACCCTGGACATCCAGTCTCACGCTCAAACACTTAATCTCTAGACCACTGAGCCGGGAGCCAATAGTGTGCAAATTTAACTTCAAGGCTAAAATGATTGATTAATAATCGGATTGTGGTTTATTATTTTTTTCATATTCGTAACAATCAATATTTCGCTTTCAACTTTAGATTCTCGTCAAATTCCTCGCATTCAACGAGGCGGTGGTGAAAGTATTCGCAATAGTGGAAGTAATCATACAGGTGTTTCTAAGTCTTCGGCCAACCATGTTAACTCCAAAAACCCTAATCAGCAAAGAAATCAACCGAATCATCGTTCGGATTCCATGGGACCTAGAGGACAAAATATGTGTGCCCCAATTGTTAGCTGAATAAATTTTCCAGTTGGAGTTCAATGAACATTTTCAGTAGACTACTCAGTTTTAAGTGCTTACCCTTACCTCCGCTTTGACTATCCAAATATCCCATTTTATTGTACCTTTATTCAATTCGGCTGTCATTTCCTCTATACACACTCACACTGTGTAAATCAGATTGGATAACTGGAAACTTGTTTAAGGGTGATTTTTAAATAATCTTTCTTATTTTTAGTGCATATTACTAAATATTCTTTTCTTTTTTCTTCCTGGTGATATTCACGTATTGTTTCAACCAGTTGTAATCTTGAACCATGTTCTGTATATTGTTTCTGTTAGTTTCTGGATTCACCAACTAATAAAAACAAAGTATTATCATACTTGGTAATTATCCATTTTTAGTAAACATCTTTGCTTTCACCCGTATCTGAACTTATGGCATTACCTCAACCTAATACCTCAGATTTATGTACAAATCATGAACTATATGAAGGGTTATCCTACTATACTTGATTTGTATTATAGTTTTTATTTAGTGCGTTTATTATTCATTTCATGTTGACTTGTTTATCGTAAAAAGTAGACCACAATAAGAATTAATATAGTGTGAGTTGTCAATATTCTGTCGCTTAGGATTTATCACCATATAATTTGAATCACTTTACTGTAGTACACGGCACTCAGTACAATGTTTTATAGCAATCAGTTTTAAAGCAAATGGTTCGTTTAATAAATGCACTGAATCTATTCAGTCTAGCTTGATATTCTGATTATCGATAGTCTTACCGTTATTACCATTATGTCATTCATGTATTTTAAGGGGAATTTCGTTAAATCCGTTAATTAGGTATTTGTCGTTGTTGGTGAACATCATTTAAAAAGAAACGGCTGCTAAAATACTAATTAACTATTAGTTTATTAGAGATTTATTAATGTGACTGGTGCAGTTTTTACGATTCTAACTTCCATAATTAAGTCCCAACTTAGGTTCAGAAACATCAAATCAGAGGAAATGAGACATTTGTTTCGTCAACCAGATTTTGTTAGGTTACAAACATGGACATATGTACCACTTTGACCGTGAAAGTGGAACTTGATTTCATTCATTGGAGGGTTTTGTATGATTATTTCACTGATATTGCTAATATGTGCTGCTACAGGCACCACTAATGCACTCATTTTTGTAAACTTGTTTCAGACAACTATTAGTTCGTCCATTGGTATTTACTTTACTGTCGATATGCTTCTATTGGCAAAATGCTGTTTGACTTGTTCTGTAATCTGCCACTTTTAATGATTTCGCATAGTAATTAACGCGGTATGAGGTTGTGAGCAAAGGAAATCAGGATTTTCTGTGTGTAAACTAATATGCGGTTTTGTGTCATATCTGAAAGGTCGGTTTCTGCTTTAAACTCTGTGTTTGAGAATCTGTGGTACAACGTGACTCCAGTTTATATGTAATGTGTTGATCGAATGTCCAATGTTGTCGCAGCATAATTTCGTTTCCAGGTCGTTTTATCATATTGTAGTAACATTCTTTGGCCAAAGGAAAAGCCTTTGTTTGACCGTTATATTAGTAATTCTATGCAGTCTTGTTAGAATAAATAACTGTAGAATGCAATTTATCTGGTGAAAATTCCCATTTAGACGACGAATAGAGCGAAAAATTTTCCATTTGTTTTTCATCATGTATATTAATATCATGCTAGTAGCGATTTAACACAATGATTATATAAGTGTTTATAAAATGACATTAAATAATTAAGCAGTTGAGAGAAATGGTTATGGTAATCAAAGTAATTATTCGAAAAATTCGACTAAGGTTGTGACATTACTTAGTACGTGAGGAAAGCTCAGTATTGTAGTAATATTAAGAATCAAGAAACTGCTATTGAAAATATCTATGGAGTGGTATTAAAATGTTGGGTGACTGACTGTTTCTTTAAGCGACCCATTGTACAAATCTGGAAGTCCATCATCTCATAGTGGAACACCATCCATCTTGGTTTAACAAAGGACAGGTGGGAGTGACTAAGAGTTCAACTCTCACATGGTAAACAAAAAAGCTCGTGTTGATTTGAATAAAGCTTTAAAAGTTTCCAACATATCCCGTCAAATTTACCACCTTGTTTGCAAGTTTGTCTTGTACATATTATTGAATCTATCGGAATCCATATTCACAAACCTAGCTTTTGCATTCAAAAGAAATTTGTACAACCATTATCGCTATCTTGGTCGTCCGTATAAGAGCGAGCTTTAGTGAAATTTTAATTAAACCAATTTTCTAATTTATTTCACTCTTGTACTTCTGCATATTTTCAACGTATGATGAATTCACTGTAGATACTTTCATTGTTTATTATTTTCTCGATCTTGACTTCCAGTATTCCCTCATATATTTAATTCTCTTGCATAGTAATATTTTTAGATTTTGATAAAAGAATTGTCAGTAAAGAAATCTTATGAATAAATAAATGAATATACGATATTTACATTGTACTTTAATAAGTTGTCATATTCTCGTAAAAGCGCTTGCTACTTGGCATTAAGTTTAGTAACACTAATCTGTTTAACCTTATGGAGCGTAGGTTTCTAATCAGCGATCTTCAAACTGTCATGCGATCCCTTTTTCAGTTTCTCCAGTCGCTTCTCCTAATTTATTCCTCCAGTTCCCTGCTCAATGTGTTCCCTCGTCGTCCTCTTTTACCTTCAGCATTACCGTAATGTGCTTCCCATCCACCTGTAATATCTTTCTTTGGATCAAATAAGTGTAGTTTCTTACAAATATATCACTTACTAGTCTACCTAAATACAACTCATACGTAATGTGACTTATTAACTAATACTATGACTTGCAATAACTTTACACTTTCTAAATATAATCGAATAGTTGTAAATGCCGGTGACCTACATCTAATTTTTGTATATGGACACATTTGCTTCACAAAACACTGACAATGTGATATCTAACTAATTTGTTAAATCATATCAGGAAATTTCATCTAAATTATAAACTCCACGTCATGTCATACATTGAATTAACTGTATCCAAGGTGTCCACTGTATTCCTTTCTCCCCTGAGATGTAGAGGTCTATATAATTCAGTTAGTCACCAGAAGAAAGAGAAAGGGCGAGAATAAGCAACGCTGTCTGACACCGGCCTTCACTTGGAATGCATCTGAGGTGCCCTTCATGGAGGACATCACAATACAGCTCAACGTATGTATTCCGTAGAATTTTGACGCTATTAGTTGAACCATAGTGCCGAAGGAGGATCAGTAGGGTCGTTCTACCCACATTTGTTGGTTGCTTTCTCATTGTCAAAGAAGCTGATGTATAATGAAGAGTTCCATTCAATTGATTGCTGAACAATAGTCCGAATTGCTGCAGTTACCTCTCTACCTGGCTTTAGTACTTCAGCTGGTGATGCTGCTTCCCTAATTTTGATTTATCTGATGGCCATGCTGATTTCGCCAATCCTCAGTGGAGCGACATCTATAGGAGGGTCTATGTATGCTCCTTCGACGTCTGGTGGGTTCATTGAGGCCGGTTCATTCAAGAGTTCTTCAAATTGCTCTACCTACCTCTTCCACAGTTCTTGAATTTCAGTGTTTGACCTGCCTTCTTTTTTTCAAATAATCACTCTGGTTTACTATGTTTCTCTGCTAGTTTCTTCGCTGTATCATGCTTTTGTTTCATATTTTCTCCTCTTGTAGCTTCTTCCGCTGTCATTGCTAGGTCTTCGGCGTATTTCTGCTTGTCAGCTCTAATGCCCCTCCTCATTTTCTAATTTCCTTTCGTGTATTCGGCCTGTGCCTTGACTGCTGTTGATAACTGTTTCCTTGTTCTTCCCTTCATTAATCTTGGTCAATAGAGATCCTCCCTTTATGCTGGTGCTTGTTGTGACCAAGGCTCTCCTGACATGTTGAAGTTATTGCTTCTTTTGTACATTTCCAGTTCTCGTTCATGGTGGTTTTCTCTTCTTGTAGTAGATCGTATAATGCTTGGAACCTGTTGCTGAGAGCTATATTGAATTTCTTGAATTAGTCAGTATCTCGAAGGAATACTGTATTAAACTTTTGTAACGTTAATTCTATTGTTATCCAGTGCTTCCTTAGCTTTAGTTTCACCTTGGTCTCCACCAAGTGGTGATCTGAAGCTAAACCACCTCCTCTCTTCGTTCTTACGTCTTCCATGGACCTTTCGAATTTTTCATTGATGCAAATGTGATCGATTTGGTTGTCTGTAGTGTGGTTTTATGTATACGTTTTTTGAAGGTATACAAATTTACGATCTTTCTTCATTCTCGTTCTTTTCTTCCAGTCCATGTCGTCTCATGATGTCGTTATACCCAGTGTCGTCATGATTCTAATTTACTTGTTTTGATTAACTGATAAATTTACTCAATTATTTTCATTAGTCTATACGATTAGTATTACCTTACTCTAAATAACAAATGACATGTTATTCTTATTTACTTTTGTTATATTTTATAAAAGTTCACTTGAAAAGGAATATTTCAACATAATTATTTAATGAAAACAATGTAACAGTCTTTTTGTTTTATAAATAATTCTTTGAATTCCATATTGCTAATTATCAAGAATATACATATATATTAGATCAAAACATTAATCTAAAAATGAAATAGATAAGTAACAATACTCTACTGAAAAGATGCTTGTAGTCTGGTGTCGAGTCGCGGTTGACGATGATCATCACTACAGGAAGACTACGTGCCAGTTAACCGATAAGATCCCCCGTAAGCCAAATATCAGTAGGCAGTTGATGGCTGTAGTCGAGATGTATTCGTTGGCGATCTCGTGGTATCGAAAGAATACTGAGATTGTGCCAAAGGAGTACAAGTGTGGTTACTAAGCGTAACCGAATTCGTGCAAGTTCACAATCAAAGGAAGGAAGAATGTCTTTAGTACAATCAAACAAACAAGTATAGTAAAACAATCACCGGTATAATTGGTTATAATAATAATTGTTTCCATTAAACCAATTGCGTTCTCTTGAGAAAAGTAGGTCACTACATGCTCAAACTTTCAATCAGGCATTGGCAATCCACGAACTCAAGCCTGAACTTTGCATACAGAAATGATTAGCCCAACCTCTCATCCTTCCTTGACCCTAATTCCCTTTATTGGTATGTTTCGAGTTTTTTTCCTTTCTTCTTCACTTTTATTTGATTATTATTGATTTTTTAAAATTATTGTTTCGCAATTTTAAACTCTAATTAGTTATTATTATTTTATACAAGTTTTTTTAACAGTTGAGATCATGAGTTAATTGAAGTTAGACTACCATGGAAAACCTTGAAGTACTGGACGGCCGCTTCGTTCTAGTATGGGACTCTTCAGCAGTCCACATCCACGATCCCGCCTCGTAAGATTCGAATCCAGGAGTCCCACAATAGGACGAAACGGCCGTCCAATGCTTCCAGGTTTTCCATGATGGTCTAGCTTCAATTGACCCATGATCTTAACTATTAAAATTACAATAATATCCACAAAACCTCTTATACAAGTTTGCTTGATTATTATTCAGTTTATGTTATTATGACCTATATGTTTGTCGTTTTTCTTCATATCTGTCGATTGAACAATTATCTGACCTGTAAATTATTTTCATCCTTATATTCCTTCCTTACCACTTGATTACTACATAACCTCATCTGATATTGAGTCTCGAATCAATTTATGATGCATTCTTTTCTATCCTTCTATAGACATATATTTACCATA